CCTCCTAGCTCCTGTGGGTTTCAGAGCAGTCGACATACATCTGACCTCCTCGCTCTGCTCTAAAGCCTCCTCTGGCTCCCAAGTGACCTTTGGCTGGAGGCTTAGCTGCTTCCACCACACCCGGGCCCTCTAGACCTGCGCCAGCCCCTGCTCCCTACTCTGTATGCGCCCAGCCCTCCTGGCTCCCTGGGTCCTCTCTGTCCTGCAGTTCCTTCTGCCTGGATACCCTTCTCTGCCTTCCTGCCACCAGCTCCCCTGTTCTTCCTCCCTGCCTTGGGCAGCCCCTCCATGGTCCCTCATCTGCAGCAGCCCCTGCTTCAGGGTTCCTTGGGGCTGGGAGGGCACCTTGCTCGTCACTGAGATGTGATGCCCGGCTCAGCCCCTGCATGTAGTGAGCACTCTCTACACAGTGCTCAGAGGGCCAGTTTGGGGTCTCCCAGCTCCCTGGGCTGCTACAGGGCAGGCACTCCGGGGCCTTCCCTGAGAGGGAGTTTCAGGCTCTTCTGGCCCCAGAGTCCATCGGGACCTGCTTCAACACAAGTGAGTGTCAGCAAGTAGCTGAGAAGCGGGGACTCCACGAGAAGGACACCCAGGGCTGCAGGCATGTCTCCTCGGTCCTCCCCAGCAATGTAGGGAGGGCTGCACCGTGCGTGTGCCCGTGTGTGTAGATGTGGTCGTGTAGACAGGCGTGTGTGTGCGCCTGCAGGGCTGTGCTGTGTACAGGCATGTGTGTATATGCATATGCACATGTACACAAATGCCCATACACATGTACACACATGTGCATGGCTGCATGTGTACCTACATGTGTAGGTGTACACGTGTGCATGTGTGTAGGTGCACGTGTGTGGGTGTACATGCGTGCAGGTGTGCACATGTGTAGGTGTATGTGTGTAGGTGTACGTATGTGGCGTGCATGCATGTGTACACGTGTGCGGGTGTGCATGTGTGGGTTTACATGTGTGGGGTGTACATGTGTGTGGATGTGCATGTGTGGATGTACATGTATTAATACATGAGCAGGCCTGTGCATGTGTATCCATGCATGTAAAAATGTAGGCACATGTGTCTGCATGTGTGTGCACAGTGCACCTCTGTGTGTGTGTATGCACCCAGGAGTGCAGGTATGGACCTATGCATGTGGGTATGTGCATGTGTGTGTGCAAGTGGGTGTGTGCGAGTGTGTGCGTGTGCAGGTGTGTGTGTGCATGTGGGTGTGTGCAGGTGTGTGGTGCAAGTGTGTGCATGCGGGGATGTGCGTGTGTGCATGTGGGTGTGGGTGTGTGCATACACAATGCACCTGTGTGTGTGCATGCACATAGGTGTGCAGGTGTGGGCCTGTGCATGCAGGTGCGTGTGTGCATGTGGGTGCGGGTGTGTGCATACACAATGCACTTGTGTGTGTGCATGCACGTAGGTGTGCAGGTGTGGGCCAGTGCATGCAGGTGTGCATGTGCAGGTATGTGTGCACTTGGGTATGTGCGTGTGTGTGTGCATGCAGGTGTGTGTGTGTGTGCATTCATGTGTGTGTGCAGGTGTGTGCTGGTACGTGGTCAGATGTGTACACACACAAAGGCTGCCCACTCCATTGGTTTCCTCAGCAAAGGCCTGGGAGGAGCCCAGGGTTTAACAGTCTGCAGGTTCCTGTTTCTTTTCTGCTGAGTCGTTGAACAGGCGTGTGTGTAACACTAGCAGCACCTGCCCCGCTGTGAAGCGGCCACAGGGCAGATGATGCTGAAGGTCCCAGAGTCCCCTTGGTGGCCCTGGGCGGCTGTTTTCCCACAGATAGGAATAGTCACATTTCATAGAGCCACAGGAAGGGAGGGTGCGTGGACCCAGGAAAGCCTCAGCCCGCCCTGGCCCCACGAGGGTTCGGAGCTGCCCAGTGTCCCGGTGCCCTGCCCTTGCCTAGCAAGTCTTGGTCTCTAGCTTCAGCTCACCATGTGCGCTCCTCTGGCCGACTGCAGATCTGCTCTGGGACCTCGCCTGGTGCCCACGGAGCTGTGTCCTCACCTGTGGCGCCCTCCCCCGGTCCCGTCCCGCACCCCCGCGCCCCCCGCCCGCTTCCCTGCACCGCGCTCCGGGCTCGGGAGGGCAACGGCGCCCCCTGCTGGGTGTGGAGAATGTGGGCTGACGCTGGGCCCAGAGCTTTCCCTTTCCTGCGGGATCTGAGCCTCCGGGCAGGTGCGGGACAGTCGGGGGGCCAGAGGACACCTGGGCAGCCCTTCCTGAACAGACAAGCAAGGGAGGGGGCCTGACCTACCGCGGAGGGCAGGTCGCGTCAGATCCTGGAGCGTCTGATCCGGGCCCTGCCGGTGGGTTTGGGCGAATAGAAAACATCCCAAGGTCGCTGTCACAGCAGGCGCTCCGAGCTGCCTCCCCCAGGCCACGTGGAGCACGAGTTCCTCAGGCAGGAGGCGCTCTGGACAGGGCGACACGGCAGGACGCAGCCCCAAGCTTGACCGGCTCTGTCCTCAGCCAGGACAGCCTGGGACAGCGTGCAGGGACGCCCTGCCTGTGGGGACACTGGAGTTGCACACTGTCCCCAGGGAGGTAGCCTGCCCCTCCCCGTGCGGCTCCAGCACCCTCATGTCCCACACTGTCCCCAGGGAGGTCACCTGCTCCCTCCCCCTGCAGCCCCAGCACCCTCATGTTCCCAGGTGTAGGTAACACCCCCTCCCCATGGGCACCGAGGAAGGAGAACTGTCCAAACCCCAGGCACAACTACTGCCTGAAAAATATCATGTCATTGCTCAGCTGTTTCCTTTATATAATCCTGCATATATAATCATATATTAGTCTATAGAATTAGTGCTTGAAGTGTAACTTACTGCTTACATCTGTCTAGTTTATATAATCAATACTTATTTCTAACATACTTAGTTCTATATAATCTTTCTATGTGATCATAGAGGTATTGTAGTCGGAGCTGCACTGACACATTCAGTGCTAATTTATAGGATCCTTCCATATAACCGTATAGTAGTTTGTAGTAGGAGGAATGCCCAGAGCAGTCACAGAGCAGAAGCAGTACATGGGAAAACAGCCAGACCAGGACGAGAACCAAAGACCCAGGCGGTGGCGTCCCTGCCTGAAAGGGCACACGCTGTATGGCAGGACTGGAGCAGGAGCCTCTCCTCCTGATAAAGGAGTTGTAGCACCTTGCATCCAGTTCCTGTGGAAAGTCGGCCTCAGATCTGAGATCCTGGAAGTAACCTCGGGAGAAGAACCCCTCTGGTGTGAGCAGTCACGGTGGCTGGACACCCTGTCGGTCTTTTCTCGCTTCTGTGCTAGCTCAAAGAATCCTCCCATAAATATCTTAAGAGAAGAGCACAAGTCTGCCAGCTCCCACTGCACTGGCTCACAGTATCCTATTAGAAATCCTTTGAAGTCCCCAGCGCCCAGGTAAGAGTGTTGCGCACGACACCTGTTGCACACAGCCCACCTCCTTGCCTTGGTGACCTAATGGGGGTGGACCCCTTTTCTGTACATGACCCTCTACTATTGCGCATGGCACGGCCCCCTACTGCGCACGGCCCACCTCTCTGCCCAGGTGACATAATGGGATGGTCCCCTCACTTGTGACTCACATGATCATGTATGCCCTATTACTAAGCCTATAGATGATGGCCTCACTCACGACCCTGCCCCCTGCTTGTACCTAATAAATACAGATGCTCTTGGGCATTTGGGGTCGCCTCTGATCTCCGCTCACAGGTCGCATGGCCCCCGAGTCCAGATGCTCTTCACCAGTTCTTCAGTGTCCTCTTTACTTCTCAGATCCTGCACTGCAACACGGCATAAGGGACACCCCACGACCCTGTGGGGCCTCCACAGCCCTACACCCAGGGAGGCCGCCTGTCCCCTCCCCATGCGGCCCCAGCAGCCTCATGGCCCACACTGTTCTCAGGGAGGGAAGCTGCCCCCTCCCCATGCGGCCCCGCCACCCTCATCCCAGGGGTGCAGCTCCCTCCCTTCGGCCCCACATGCACACAGGCTCTGCAGCTCGAGGCTGACGGCAGAGGTGCTGCAGTGGGCCTCCGTGTGCAGCCCCAGACCTGCTGCCTCTTGAGGGTGGTAAGTGGTTTGTGGAGGGACGGCAAGCACAGGGACCCAGAGATGGCTTCTGTCTACACAGCCAGGGGAAAGCCTCAGCCACGCTGTAAGGCCAGGGAAGGCGTGGAAAAGAAAACTCGAGGGGTTTTGTGACCTGATGTCGCTTCAGTGACTGGGGCTGGGACTAGAGAGATCAGGATGGGCTTCCTGGAAGAGGTGGGATAGCAGGTGGTGCTCGTAGGGTGCACAGCACTGGGCCTGGAGTAGGGGAGGCATGGATGGTGAGAAGCGAGTCACACAGATGGCGGCTGTGGGGGGTGGTGGGTGCAGCTGGCACTAACTTTCAGGAAGGGAGCAGAGGCCAAGGAGGCTGCTGGCAGCAGTGCCATGTCTGGCATCTGGAGTGCAATGGGCACACTTGGCAGACCTGGGACAGCCAGGGAGAGTGCTGCTCACCCACACCCCTGCACCCCCTCACCAACACCCCTGCACTCCCTCACCCACACCCCTGCACCCACCTGCCCACACCCCTGCACCCCCTCACCCACACCCTTGCACGCCCTCACCCACACTCCTGCACCCATTCACCCACACCCCTGCACTCCCTCACCCACACCCCTGCACTCCCTCACCCACACCCCTGCACCCCCTCACCCACACCCCTGCACCCCCTCACCCACACCCCTGCACTCACCCACACCCCTGCACTCCCTCACCCACACACCTGCACCCACCTGCCCACACCCCTGCACCCCCTCACCCACACCCCTGCACGCCCTCACCCACACTCCTGCACCCATTCACCCACACCCCTGCACCCCCTCACCCACACCCCTGCACTCACCCACACCCCTGCACCCCCCTGCCCACACCCCTCCACCCCCTCGCCCACACCCCTGCACCCCCTCACCCACACCCCTGCACCCACTCTCCTTTGGGCCTAGACGTTAGGTGCTGCGGACTGGGAAGTCTTCCACATTGGGGAGAGGATCTTCCTCGCCGTGGCCAACAGTCACAGCTACGACGTGGAGATGCAAGCCCAGAATGAGTCCTACGTCATCAACTCTGTCATCTACGAGCTGAATGTGACCGCGCAGGCCTTTGTCAAGTTCCAGGACATTCTCACCTGCAGGTGCGTGCCTCAGCGGGCTGGGGGAGGACGGGCTGATCTCTGGGATGCCCATCGTGTCGGAATCCCCTTCAGTGGAATCCTCACCATCCTTCCCACGCAAGGACTGGCCTGGGAAAGTCAGTACCACTCTGAGCCACAGGCTTGGTTCCCAGAGCTCTGCACGCTCATACCCGCCACCTCCTTTCATCTGGGCGGTGGAGAGGGGAAGGGGCTTCGTGCCTGTCGTGTGGAGGAGCAGCCAAGGCCCCACAGGGGCAGGTTCGAGGGGCAGGCCTCGAGCAGCTCTTCCGACCGTTGCCCGTTGCCTGCTGATGCCCGCTGCCATGGCAGGGTTACTTCCTTCCCCAGAGGCGGCATCCTCCTCCTTGGCAACACCTGGACACTGAGACATGCGTGTTGAGACAGACGTGAGACCCAGGGAAGCTGGAGGGGGGTTCATATGTAGACAGGGTCGGGCTCCAGATGACACGCTCTGCGGGGCCACAGGAGGTTGTGTGGACACCGTATTTGGCACAGGGGGCACTGAAAATCCATAACTGTCCTGATCAGCATGGGGCCTCCTCTGGGGTGGAATTCAGAAGTCTGTGACTGAAACTGCAATTGAATCCGTATGACTCGGACCCCAGAGCTGGAATCCAGCCCATGCCCATCCTGGAATGGAGTAGGCCGCTTTTCAGGTGCCCTTTGGGTTTCATTCACTCCTGTTTCACTGAGTAACGATTCACCAGCCCCGCCTGGGCACTGAGAGACACGACAACACTCAGAGGAGAAAAGTCTGCAGGACAAGCTGCTCTGTGGGAGGGCAGGCTGCGGTGCGGCGGAGTCTCGTGACCCAGGCACCGAGGAGCCAGCCGGTGTGCATGCCACCTAGCTGTGCGCGCCGTAGGAGGCACAGAGAAGGCTCTGGAAGGGAGCGCCCCGCCAGCAGCCATCACCCCAGGGCCAGGCGGGCTGCAGGGCATGCAGGCAGACCAGGAAAGACTTTCCCTACTTGCTGCGTTACTTCTGAACTGCTGGTTTTGCAAAGGTCTAGCTGACTAATATCTTACTTAGATGATTTTTAAACTTTTTTTTAAAAAGCCTCAGAATAAAGAAAGAGAGACAGTAGTGGTGCCTGCCGGAGGCATTGGGGATTCCAGAGTGGCCCCTGCGTGGCCTGGCAGCCATGGCAGGAGGAACAGGCACTGGGCGGGTGTCCCCAGCACGAGCCCACGCCCTCCAACGTCAACACCGAGAGCAACTGTAGACGAGGCATTTTAGAACAACGCTTAGAGTAAGACAAGTTGGAGAATGAACTGTGATTCAAAATAATCGTGGGATGAAATGTGCCTCATGGAGACGGTGCCAGTCTGGAAATGGATGAGGCAGACGCCTCGGTGTTTGAAGCTGTGGAGCCAGCAGAGCCCAGCTACACCGCGACTTACGGCCGCGTCACCCCGGGCAGTGGTGTGGACGGTTCATGAACTAAATCGTGAAACACAGAAAGTACTTACTAATTAAGGCTACGTTTAATAATTATTGTCAAAACAGCACACGAAAGCCAAAATCCTGGCCTTTCTCCCCGGTGTGAGGAGTCCCTACACTTCTGGAAGGCTCCATGTGGTCTCCCCAAGCCCAAAACCCTCTCGGGGGCGGCTGAGGGGTTCCTCAAAGCTGTGTGACCTCAGCTCTCACTGCCTTCAAGTGGTCTGCTGTGTTTGCTTTTTACAATTCAGTGGTTTTGTTGAATCCACAGATACGTGCAGCCGTTGCTGCAGTCAATTCTGGAACATTCTCATCCCCACAGAAGGAGCCCCCTCACCCTTTGCCAGCCCCTTCCCTCCCCCCGGGCAGTCCCGGTCTGCTTCCTGTGTCTGTGATTCCCCGTTCTGGACGCCGCACGGAAATGGCCGTGGCCTCTGTGCCTGGCTCTTTCTCACGGCACCGCGTCCTCCGGGTTCGTGGCGTGGCTGCGCAGCTCAGAGCGTCCCCCTTCTTGTGGCTGTCACGCTCCATCCATGCGTTTGCCGCTGAGGGGCGTGTGCGTTTCTGCCTTTTGGCCAGAGGGCCAGATTCTGAGGAATAACACTGTCCCTGGCAGGTGTGGCCGGGGCTGCTCTGGAGGCAGACTCGGGGACTCGCACTAGACGCCTTATTTTGCGGTTAAAGCGAAGCCGGCTTCTGACGTGAGCCTCAGTGCAGCCAGACAGGACCTCCCGCCACTGCCACCGCCGCTTGTCTGCCTCGGTCCTGGGTTTTAGAGCTCAGGTCCAATTGAGGAGTCACACTGACCCGGGGCCCGTGGCTGTGCCTCCAGACCAGGGCACGTGATCACGGGCATCCTCGTCCTCCTCCCGGCGAGCTGGCACAGGCTCCATGGGAACCAAATTATAACCCGCCAGCAATGGAGGTGGCTCCAGATGTCACCCTGACTGACAGAAGGAGTGAGGAGCCCAGGGCCCATGGGCTCTGCCCGTCCCTGGACACCTCCAGGCTCCCTGCCTCCCCTAGGGACCTTTCCAAGCCCCTCCTGCAGGTGGCCCCTCAACTGCCTCCAGGGACGCTCTGAGATGAGGCCCAGCAAGGGAGGGGCCCTTCTGCTGCCTCAAGTGGCCACAGCCCTGAGGCTGCTGAAGCAGAGGGCCGGCCTGGCCTGCATGTCAGCAAGACGCCAGCCTGTGCGAGCCTTCCACCTCCATTTCCTCATCTCAAGATGAGGGGCTGATGCCGACAGCTCAGCAAGTGGACTCCGGGGGGGGGAAGGGCTCCAGGAAAGCCACTTGCCAGACCCCTCAAACCGAGCTGACCCCACGCACAGATGCACCCGGGCAAACGCAGGCGAGGCTTATGCCTAAGACAGAACTCAGCAAGGTTGTCTGCAACAAGCAACAGCGCCCACCTGCAGGTCAGCATCTGTGACCCCGAAGGTCCTGCAGGCCCCTGCTGGAGTGACCTCGCGCTGCTGACCTCACAGCTGAGGACACGATGCTGAGAGAAGAAGCCAGGCGCGGTGGCCATGGCGCTGCGACTCCATCTCTGCAGTGTCCAGACGGGAAATCGAGCCCCTGCCTGCAGCAGGCGCCGGAAGCCTGGGACTTTTTCTCTGATCGTTTCAAGCTCTTAAAAGTGGACTTTTCGGCCGGGCGCGGTGGCTCAAGCCTGTAATCCCAGCACTTTGGGAGGCCGAGGCGGGTGGATCACGAGGTCAAGAGATCGAGACCATCCTGGTCAACATGGTGAAACCCCGTCTCTACTAAAAATACAAAAAACTAGCTGGGCGTAGTGGCGCGTGCCTGTAATCCCAGCTACTCAGGAGGCTGAGGCAGGAGAATTGCCTGAACCCAGGAGGCGGAGGTTGCGGTGAGCCGAGATCGCGCCATTGCACTCCAGCCTGGGTAACAAGAGCGAAACTCCATCTCAAAAAAAAAAGTAGACTTTTCTACCCCGGTGTTCACAGCAGTGTTATTCACAGTAGTCACATGGAGGAAATTACCCAAGTGTCCGTCTGAGGGTGGGTGGATGAACACAACGCATCCATTCACACAGTGGAACGTCACTCAGCCTCAAAAAGGAAGGAAATTCAGACATAGGCGACAAGACAGATGAGCCTTGAGGTCACTGGTGTCTGAGCTGCGTCAGACACAAAAGGACAAATACCGTGTGATTCTATTTCTATGCGGTCCCTAGAGTAGTCGGATTCATAGAGACAGAAAGTGGGGTGGTGGGTGCCGGGCTGGGGAGGTGACGGGGTGATGGTGACTGCAGGGGGACAGTGGTGACGGCTGCACAGCAGTATTAATGTGCCTCATGCCCCTGATCCGTGCACCTAAAGATGGCTGAGGTGGTACATTTTATGTTACATATATTTTACCACAATTTAAAATCTGGGGCCGGACACAGCGGCTTGTGCCTGTAATCCCAGCACTCTGGGAGGCCAAGGCGGGCAGATCACTTGAGGTCAGGAGTTTGAGACCAGCCTGGCCAACATGGTGAAACCCCATCTCTACTAAATATATAAAAATTAGCCAGGTGTGATGGTGCATGCTTATAATCCCAGCTACTCAGGAGGCTGAGGCAGGAGAATCGCTTGAACCTCAGAGGTAGAGGTTTTGGTGAGCCGAGATCGCACCACTGCACTCCAGCCTGGGCGACAGAGGGAGATCCCTCTCAAAAATAAAATAAATAAAATAAAATTTGAAATATTTTTAGGTAAGCAACTAATTTACATTTTCCTGGAATAGACCGACTCCTCTGTGACTTTGAGAAAACCACTCCCGACTTTGGGCCCGGCTCCTCCTCTGTGAATTGTGGAGGTGGCTTCAGGCCAAGCCTCCAGTTCTCCAGCGATGTCCGTTGTGTGCTGATACCCGACCGCTTGTTCCGCAGTGCTCTGGACTGGGAGTTTTTCTCGGTGGGAGAAGATTCCTTCCTGGTGGTCGCTAACTCCTTCGACGGGCGCACCTTCTCGGTGAACAGTATTATTTACAGGTAATGAGCTGCGAGCCGGCTTCCTCCCAGCACCGGGCTTCCCCTGGGGGCTCGCCTCCTCTCACAGGGCCTCCTCCGCTCACAGTGAGTCCCAAGTCAGCTGCCGTTTCCCGAGATTGGCTGGGCCTGGTGGACGGCCCGGGGCTGGCTGCACTGGTGTCGGGACTGAGCCGGCCCCTGCCCCAGGTGTAGCCATGACCCACGCGCGCCGGCACTTCTGCCTCTGGAGCCTGGCAGGGATGCAGTGTGGACATCCTAGCCTAGGAGTTGTGGATATTTAACTTTTCTCTCATGGACACTGTAGTGCTCTCACCACATTTATTTCTAGGAGTTTTCCAAGTGTTCTAAGTTGAACGAATAGGGTTGGCTTTTTTTTTTTAATTTTCATTTGCAGTTGCTTATCATGACAATCATTTTTTGCATCTAGCCGTCTCACCAAACTATCAGTTCTAATAGCTTTTCTTAAAAAGATTCTCCGGAGAGTTAGAAATACAATCACATCTGAGAATAAAGAACATTTCCCCTTGATTTCTAGGGTTCTCATTGAGTATTTAGTTTGCTTCCCTAGCTAAAGATTCCAGAACAATCTTGGATGGTGGCAGAAGCGGCAGCCGTCACACCCTGCTCTGGTTTAACGAGCACATCTGAGCATGGCGTTTGACGGGCCGTGGGCCATCCAGGCCTGGGCTGGGTTCTCCTCCGGCATCTGTGAGTGCGTGGCGCCGTTCCAAGACGCTGCTGCCCACGTCACGATTCAGAGTGAGAGATTTCCTCTGTTTCTCGGACCCGAGGCTGCTTGGTGATAATGCATAATTATTTAATAAGCCCTGACTTCCAATTGCTTATCTTTAAGCTTTTGGCGTCTATAATAGGAAATAAGGTTGCTCAGTGCTTTTCTTTTGGGGACTTAACTTGATCCCGTTTGAGGTGCAGCCTTATGATCATACACACTGCAGGGCTTTCTAACTGCACCTGTGGGCTGGGACAGTATGAATAGTAGGATTTTTCTCTCATTTCTGACAGCTGGGTTCAGCTCAGTTATAAAACCAGCTGGGCCTGGTACCTTTTTAATGGTACCTCTTCTTTTTTCCTTTGACAGGGTCTTGCTCTGTAGCCCAGGTTGGAGGGCAGTGAGTGCTCTCAGCTCGCCACAGTCTGAAATGCCCAGGCACAAGCGATCCCCCCACCTCAGCCTCCCGAGTAGCTGGGACCACAGGCATGCGCCACCACGCCTGGCTAATTTTTGTGTTTTTAGTAAAGATGGGGTTTCACCATGCTGGCCAGGCTGGTCTGGAACTCCTGACCTCCAGTGGTCTGCCCGCTTTGGCCTCCCAAAGTGCTGGGATTACGGGCGTGAGCCATCATACCCAGCCACAAATGCTGTATTTGAAGGCAAGGAGAAAAGGATGCATTATTTAATAATCCCGTATGATTAGCGAGATTAACTGTAGAATAAAACAAAGCTGTTCCCCTACTTCACATTGTACACAAAAATACATTTAAAAGTTCAAGTGTGAAGGAAGAAAAGCTAAGTGCTGCTGTATAACCTCAGGGTTCCATGAAGAAGCCAAGCCAGGGAGGAAAGCCTCGGCCCTGGCCACCTGTGTAACAGCTTTACGTGGAGACAGACGTCCCATTCAGAATCAAAAGAGAAAGTTTCCCACACACGTGACAGAAAAGGAACCCTTACAAACTAGTAAAAGATGAGAAAAACAGGCAAAATATATTAACAGGAATTTTTAGAAGAAAAGTATGAATAAACATTATAAGTGATTTGTTCTCAGAGCAAAACCCTGACAGGTTTCTCCGAATTTGTTTGGAAGCGTTTTAAAGATGGTCAGTGGAGGGGGTGGGGGGATCCCAGCCTGCCCTTCTCCACGAGAACAGTAATCACCATGGCTTCTCCAGAAAGCAATCTGGAAGAATTTAATACTTTAATTAAATTTAAACAACTGGTGCCCTTTGATGTCGGTGCCCTGCCTCTGGGACTCCACCCCTCGGAAATGGAAGCCGCTGGGATAAGTGAGTCCCTTTGAAGGCAAATCCCAGCCGCCAGCAGCTGCCTGGGGAGGGAATGAGGGCCGGGCAGCCCGAGTGGGGCCGCAGAGCAGCAGGCAGAGCTCCTGTGTCTGAGGACAGAGGGGCTCCCGCCTGCCTGGTGGCCTGTGTGTGTTAGAGGGGCCTGGAGGAAGGTCACCTTGCACCTCATGGTCACGGCCAGCCCTGGCAACTCCACATTTGGAAGCTCCTGGGGTAGGAGCTTGGGTGGAGGGGAGCTAGTGCTGGGACCTGTGAGATCTGGATCTTTCCTCTTCTGGGCCTCCGCCTCCTGCTTTGCAGGATGAGCAGGCCCTCGCGGCCCACAACTGCTGTCTCCATGCTGTGCCAGTTGCAGGGAATGGGAGAGGTCTGCATGTGACCCGGAGCTGCTGGGTCCCTGGCGGCGCGGGTGGGAGCAGGGGAGAGGAGCCTCCGCACAGGGCCCAGGCTGACCGGGCTGCCGTCTGTCCCGCAGGTGGCAGGGCTACGAGGGCTTCGTGGCGGTGCACAGCCTCCCTACCGTGGGCTGCAGGGACTGGGAGGCCTTCAGCACCACGGCCGGCGCCTACCTCATGTACTCCAGCGCCAAGGAGCCCCTCTCCAGGGTCCTGCGGCTGAGGACGCACTGAGGCCGGGGCCATCGGGAGCCGCTGGAGTGGCCGGATGGGGCGGGACCCCAGCACCTCCCCCTAAATGGCCCTGGACGTCTGGTGGGCGGAACCTCGGGCAGCCGGGGCCTGGGCTGCGGGCAGGGTGCAGGTGGGGCCGTCTGCAGCCTTGGTTCGGGCAGGAACGTGCATCCACCTCTGGGTGGTTCTGAGCCACAGCCCACAACTCTGGGTCCTGCAGGCGGAGGTCGCCCATCTGACTGTCAGGCGGGGATTTCACCACCAATGAAACGTTCTATAAAGATTTACCTCAAACAACAGGCCCTCAGGCTTGTGACCCTAAGCTGGCCTCGCGCCAGCCCCTCCCGCTGTGTGCACCCGGCCGCCCAAGTAGACGTGGTGCCGCCCTTGACGCTGACCGCGATGCCTCCACCTATTTACTGTGTTTTATCTGAGCGGAACTGTATTTATATTGCTCTTTACAAAACCACTCAGCAGCAGGCGAGTACAGCCCTTTGCCACAGACACAGACAGAGGGCCATCTCCCCCGTACAGGGAGCGGCCTCCCTCCCAGCCTCAGTTTACCCACAAATCCACTGGGGCCAGGTCAGAAATAACAAGCCTGGGTGTGGCCTGGGTGGCACCCCCTCCCCAAGTTCCCACCCACAGGGACCTGAGTTCCCTGTGGAATTGCTTCTGGGCCCAGGATTTCTCTTTCTCTTTCTTTTTTTTTTTAAAGATGGGGTTTCACCATGTGGGTCAGGCTGGTCTTGAACTCCCAACTTCAGGGATCACCTCAGGTGATCCGCCCGCCTTGGCCTGCAAAGTGCTTGGATTACAGGCGTGAGCCACCACGCCCGGCCCCAGGCCCAGGATTTCTTTCCCTGTTCCGCAGCATTTTAATGACCTGCCCTCCAGCTGACGGGCCGTGGACTGTTCAGGCTGTCCCAGCCCCCTGATGGCAGTGTTCTCCACCGGCTCACCTGTGGTCATCTTGTCTCTGCAGCCGGGAGAGCTGCGTGTCCACCCGTCACAGGCAGCAAGGACAGGAGGTGGTGAGGGGCGCGAGGACCCGGGGCTCCTCCCTCTTAATGCATGTGGGTGCCGGAGAAAGCCTTCCCCAGACGAGAGGAGGCTCAGACACCAGGCTCGGGGGCCGCGCAGCGCAGACCAGACCCGCTAGGGTCTTCCCGAACCACGCTCCTGCTTCTGCGACACAAGTCGGAACAGCAACGATCCCGAGAGAGTTTACAATTCGCTTTTTCCGCCAGTCGGAACTGCAGACAGAACTTCCTGCTCTCCACACGGCAGCCGTCTGTTCGCCTTCAGTTCACGATGAAATGGGAGCCCCCCTCGTCTGGCAAATAATGCGCTCCGTGTCCGCTTCAGCCGGCTTTGCGGCCTTCGTGTTCTTCCGGGCGTCGCTGTGGCCCCGGGAGAGCCAGTCCCCGCCGAGGGCAGACGCCGAGCGCCTCCTTCCCCTCTGTGCGTGCCCGAGGCTTTCCCAAGCCTCCTGGGCACGGCGAGGCAGGCCCTGCTCTCCTTACCCGTCACTCCGAGGGTCCCACTCACACATAATTGAGTTGACCCAATAAGTTGGGTCAGCACTTGCAAAAGGAAGATAAAAACTCCAGACCCAGTTCACTCTACCAGGAAGACAAAATTAAGCTGAAAGCTGAGTCATTCAAGAAGCTGCCTTTCCCTTTGTCCCGAAGCAGACAGCCACGGCATCTCCACCAGCGGCCACGGCATCTCCACCAGCGGCCATGGCATCTCCACCAGCGGCCACGCCGTGGGCACCTTGCCTCATGGAAAACGCCGATTAACTGAGCATGAGGTGAACACTTCACTGCCCCCACCGGCTCCTTTTCCCCTGCAGCCGGGGAGTCAGCCATGTGACCACACCCTCCCTCCGGCCCTCCAGCCGCTGGCCTTTCCCCCTCACTGAAGCCCTCAACCTCATCTTAGAGAAGGGCACAGACCTGTCCCCTGGGTGCGTCCTTAGCTGTGGCAAAACAAACTTCTCCACCGACCGAGGCCCGTCTCGGGTACTTTCCTGCTTTGCAGACGCAGCCACGCGCCTTTCCAGCTGGGCCTGGTTCTCTCACTGGTCTGCACCGGCGGAGTGATTTGTTTCAGTTCACGTGAGGCTGACGGTGCCACAAGCGTTCCAACTTCCATCTCAGCCAGACCCCCTCATTCCCCAAACTGTTCTAGATTTGGCCTTATTTTGGAAATCAGAGCCTGGCTTGAGCAGCTGGAAAATCTAAGACCTTCTAAGTCAAGTCACCAAACACTCAGGATTCGGGTCGCAAACTGAAAGTGTCCGACCAGGTCTCAGTCGACTTACAGGGTTATGACGCCAAGGCTGAGCATCTGCCTGGGTAGAAGCAGCGCCAGTCACGGCGGGACCTGTGGCCCGGCCTTTTCCAGAGAGCGTTTTGGGATGCTGGGTATTTAAAAGAGGAAGAGAGGAGAGGGCAGAAGGGGGAGGGGAAAGAGAAGAAGTGTAGATAGGCAGTGAGGTGAGCGGTCAGGTTCCTGCGAGGCTTCGATGAGCTCCCGCTGAGTGCACGGGAGGGCAATGGTGGGGAGACAGCCGGGTTTCCAGGAAGCATCTAAGTGGCCACGCAAAAGATGGACCTCTTCCTTCCCGCCGCTTGGGTGACCGCCCCGATGGGACTTTCAGCACCACAGTGGAGGAGGGGCCAGCAGAAGAGCAGGGCCCTTTCCTGCCTCGGTCAGGATGTGCCTCCCCTGGACCACATCTTCCTGGGGCTGACTCACGGGACGTTTCCAGCAGGGCTGGCCTGAGGGTGCTGGAGCTTTATTTTTGTGCTGGTGTAGGCACTTTTCAGGCTCAGATTAAAGTCCCTTTAGCTGTGTATTTACCCTCCCAACAGCACTTTGTGAACCCCTCTCCTGTCTGTCAGGGCTTGAACCAATAAGCTTGGTAGCTCCAATTCCGAGACACAAAACCTGGCTCCAGCCAAGCTTCTGGCAGCTTCTCTGCGGCCGTTTTCACCACCCTTTATCTTCCCCACTTCTCCATCGTTGCTTTGCCGACGTGGGCGTCTGCCCCCAAGGACCGGGGGAGACCTGGAATCGGGGATATGCAGCACTTGGGCTGAAGATTTTGGGGAGGATGTGGAAGCGAGGGGCTAACCAGAGGTTTCCGCGTCACCTGCCAATCCCCCCTCTCTCCCCATCCCTGTGGTGCCGCTTCATTGGACGCTGAAGCCAGGCTCCTGATCTAAGGGCTACGGTTCACCTAAAATTCCATCCCGGGCCGGTGCCGAGGCTCACACCTGTCATCCCAGCACTTTGGGAGGCCGAAGCAGAGGGTCACCTGAGATCAGGAGTTCAAGACCAGCCTGGCCAACATGATGAAACCCCGTCTCTACTAAAAATACAAAAATTAGCCAGGCACATGCTTGTAATCCCAGCTACTTGGGAGGCTGAGGCAGGAGAGTTGCTTGAACCTGGGAGGTTGAGGCTGCAGTGAGTCAAGATGGAGCCACTGCACTCCAGCCTGGGTGACAGAGTGAGACCCTGTCTCAAAAAAAAAAAAAATCCATCCCAGCATCCTCAGCTGGAATAACTGTCAGAAGCTACTGGCTCCCCAACGGAATTAACGGAAGCTGCCACAGCCCTCCTGACCCCACTGGACAGAGCCGCGCCCCCAGCAGACGTGAGCTCCTCCATCCTCTGAGCTGGCCCCGCTGCTGTCTTGGAGTGGGAAATCCTCTCCTGCGGAGTCTGAGCTTCAGACAGGGAGGGGCAGGGGCCCTTCTGTGTTCCGATCGCTGTCGCCCTAAAAGGAAGAAGCTGAGGCGTAAGGTCTAACCTAGAGAGCCAGCTCGAGCCACGGTGAAGACAGCGGCCTGGAAGACTCACACACAAGTGCACCTGGCCACGAGCTTCCTTTGGCCACGAGCTCTCTGGCCACGAGCTTCCTTTGGCCACGAGCTTCCTGGCCACGAGCTTGCTTTGGCCTTCTCTGGCCATCATTAGAGGCAGGTTTTCAAGGGCAAAAGGGGGACATGGAGCAGGTCCGACACAAAGCTCTTGTCAGGAACCCTCCCTGGCTCACAGAATAACGCTGCTGACTGTGGCGTGGGTCACAGCACCCGATGGTTGAGATTTGTTGGTTAGGGCTCCTCGTGGCCATCACACACAGCTCCTGAAGATAGCACATACCTCAGGGGGTGGGACGGGACGCTGGCCCCTCTCCGTGTCTCTCTGGACCTGATCATATAATGAAAGGACTTGCATTCCTCACAGAAGAGTTCTTTTCTCATCAAGATCTCCATTTTCGGCTTTCTCTGAGTATCAGGATGGGGTCCCCTGGAGAGCTGCTTGGGGGAGGCAGGAGAATCACAGGAGGGGAAACTGAAGGGCTTGGACAGGGGCAGTAGCCCCATCTACAACCAGCCTCACGGAGCAGGTCACTGCGGCTGAGGCTGGGAGGAACCGGGTGCAGTCCCGCACGTGTATCCCCCAGACAGACCTGGGGGTTCCTGTGCCCGAGACTGGGGGGCGTAACTGCAGGCAGACGGAAAAGCCATGGAAAACATGATCCCTGCGTGAGCTTGGGGCTCACCCCTGGGAGGTGGTGAGTGGTGAGGTGCCTGGAAAATGAATGCGGAAAGAAAAAAAAATCAGCAGAGGGTTCCAGGTGTGGCCCTGGTAGAATCAGAGGATGGTCTGGGAGGATGGAGACGTAGACCCAAATCACAAGAGTTCGGGAAGTGAGACCTCAGGACTAAAACAATGGCGTGACCCTGAGAATTTGTCTCTGGTTCCTGGCTTGAGGGTAGGGTTATGGTTGATGGGTGGAGGCACACACATGCAGGCAGGCACGGGCACCTCTGTCTGGCTCTTTGGGAAGATGTTCTCTGGGCCGAAGAATGTCCGCTCGGTGAAAATATCAAGGAAGGTGATCTTTTTTCTTTTTGCGTTTGGTTCGAAAGGCGGGATTTTCATGGACTCGGGTTCAGGGGCACCGCCTGGAGGGACTGGCACTGGGTGCACGTGACTCAGCCCTGCCGAGCTGTGCACTCTGAGCTGAGCCATCCCAATTTCCAGCTGTGCTATGGGAAGAATCATGCCCATCTTGCAGGACTCTGTGGGGGACAAAGAGGTAGAATCAGCGGGAAAGGAAGTGTGATCTGTACCCCACCTTGCAACAGTGACTGATGTGGTTAAATCCCAGGACGGCAGGTGCACGCCCTCGCCTAGAGTGGTGGCGTGCACAGAGTGAGGGGGGACACAGCCAGACCCACTCCCGACCGCATTACGCACAGATAGCAACGCTGAGGGTCTCGGTGACAAGGGGTGGAACGTGTGGGGGTGGGGGCCTTTCACAGCCTGAGAGCAAAAGTAAAGCCAGTCATTTATGCTCAGGAACGCAAAGCCGCCGCCAGCAGCAGCGGAAGGAATGCAGCCCACATCTTGCTTGTTTAAAGCAGCAAGGGAACAAAGTGACATAGGCAGGGAG